CAATCTTTTTTTTTGTATGCACTTATTCTAAATTTTTTTCGAACTTTGATATTAGTTTTTTCTTGTCGTCACTTTGTTATAGGTATCGAAATATAAGGTAATAAATAGAATATTTAGAAAGTTTTCTCCACTAACCAATTATTAAATATTTTAGAAGATGCAAGGTTGCTAAAATTATACCCCCAATAATACCTACGCTGCTTAATGTAGGTACACAATCATATTTTTCAATACCCTAAAAACGTATAAAAATTTACATCGTATTATTATTATCATATACCTACTTAGCAACATGTTATTGAGTTCTAGATATCGCGTATATTTGAAAATAAAAATAGATTTGTGGTATTTAGTGGTAATTTCAGTGGCAATTAATGGTAATGACAGTGGTAATTAGTGGTATTTTGAGGAAATAAGTGGTAATAAGTGGTAATTTAAGTGGCATTGAGTGGTAATTTCTGAGGAAATGAAAGGTAATACAGAAAAAAAGTGGTAATTTAGAGGAAATTATTGGTAATTTGTGGTAATTTCTGTCAGAAGTGGTAATTTAGTGTACACAGTTTCACTACTGAAATCCCCCTCGGATTTAGCATTGCAAGACTTACGCGAGACCAAGACCGAGCTTGCAAGAGTCTTGCGGTCTTGCGTTTTTTTCTGAATATTATTAAAATTTAGTATGTATTTGATATAAGGTACTTGACCCAAATAAGGCCATGTACCTAATAAGGCCAGTGCCCTTTATTGCTTAATATTGAATCCAATTTTCCAAAATTACAATATTATTAAAAAAGAAATCTATAATGCAAATAAAAAATTATTGCAAGGGTTCCCAGGAACTCGTCATATGTCGAAAAATGGCCAACCACATATTTCATATGTCACGTTATAACTTTGTGGCTAGAACTCAATATAAGCTTATATACGTGTTTATAAAGTAAATTAATGGAGCGATTGTAATTTTTTAACAGACATTTGGGTATTGACAAAGCTACAGAGTAACTACAGAATAATATCTTTGTTAGATTTCTAGTTACAGAATTTTTTTTAATCAATTTAACATGTTCCTAATAAGGCCATCATACGAAAAATGTTCAATTGGCCTCACATCACAGTGTTTTTTTTTTAAAAGTGTGTCATATTATTACCTGAGTGATGTTTTTTGAAATGCCTGAAGCCTAACCAAGCAAGAGATGCTGCGGTTTATTTGTTTTAGTTGTATGTAGACCAATTTGGATCACTATCCCAGGACTTGGAATTATTGTTTTTTTAAGAATGCAGCATATGTATAAGTTCTATTTTGTGTACTATTTCTGAAATAATAATATTTTTATAAATAATTGTATGTATTTTAAACATTTTTTAATGGTGGCCTTATTAGGAGCATAGTGATCCAAATAAGGAAAATGGTGAGCGTCTTTGTTTGACGCAAAAACCACCACATATAAAAAAATAAAATAAATTGGAGTTAGTATTCAAGTAATAGAAGCGAAACACTTCACATATAAGCTCGTGATTTTTGTTGGGTTTGGTGGATAATGTTAGGAAAAAATAAAACTTCTTAACATGGCCTTATTTGGGACAGGTACCTTATATGTTTGTAGTTGAATATAACATATCTAACTATTGCCATAGGCTCTGTTACTGGTATTGGGGCCTACCCTATCCTAAAACTTTGGAGAATATAAAGAATTTCCACAAACACAATTATCAAACATATCTAAATTTCCAATGTAAATCGAATTGGTGTTTGAAAGTGAAAGATTTTTCTGTCCATAAAATGTTTCATTTGCTGAGAAGAAATGCATGAAACTGATGTACACTTTTTTCATTGAGCAATCATAGTTTTGGTTTATTTCTAATCCCAGCTAAGGTAACGGGGCCCCCTGTGACTTAGATTATATACTATTAAAAGCTGTATGCGATTATCAAGAAAATAGATAGATACTTACATTACAACTCAATTATAGATAGGCATAAAAAAATCAAATCGAATGCCCGTTTAGATAAAATGGTTCTTGTGTTAGCGCCGCCCGCAATTAATTGTAAATATCAGTGGCGCACCCATGGGGGACATCGGGTTGCCGCTTTCCCCTCCCCCAGGCCGCTATCCAAGCCTGTATTTTTACGTTAAAGAAAATGTGGCAACATCAGGGCGTGGCACCCTTACACCTCAATTTTTTGTTTAGATTTTTGGACACAATCCATAACCTATATGTAGAGGCCCCCAAACATATTCTCTGGGTGCGCCACTGGTAAATACAAATAAAGATGTTTCAATATTACGGGGACAAACTTGAACAAGTGATCCCTTAACTCCCAATGTTTCTTTGAGCATTTTTCACTTGAAAAAATTGCCTGATTTACTTGTACTTGTTAAAATTTGCTGCTGTGGTAGAGGTACTCAATATTGAAAAGCCAAAATTTTGGTACTGGCATATACTCTCCCTTTCTTTAAACATTCACTTACTTCAAGTGGCATGAAAAAAGATTTTTTTCTAAATTTTCTATGTTAAAATTCCCTCCCGTAAAAATCTTCCAAATAAATGCAAGACTTGCAAGAGTCTTGCTGCATGACCAAGACCAAGACCAAGACTGGACCCTGCAAGACCAAGACCAAGACCAAGACTAGCCTGGTCTTGATCTTGGTCTTGCATTTGCTTATCACTAGATCGAAGCAGCATTGCCAAGCTAATCAGGTGGACAATGAAGCTCCTTGTTAATGAGTTCTTGCCAGAATGTTTAATTCGTGCAGAAATTTCAAAGGGGGTGTGACCCTAAAAAACGACTCAAGCTACTTAAATCAAGAAAAAAATTCTAAGATCTCTCGTGAAAACCGCAGTCCTGTATTCAAAATAGTCTCCGAGAAAATTCCTTGTGAAGATCAATTGTGCAGGAAATTGTGATGTCACAACCGCCGAAATCGCAGTCTTCTGGTCGTTCAGTCCACAGTAAACCGTAGCCTATACTTTGAGTGGTTGCAACTTGCTCTAGGAGATATTTATCTTTAGTTTTGGGAAATTCTTACACCTGTTAATACTGTCCCTGAAAATTCAGTGTGACGTCACGTAACTTTAAACCGCCCTAACTCGAAAACGAACCATCGTAGCAAGATGCGGTTTGAATATTTATTCTTAGATTTTTTTGCACTAAAACTTTCATTTTTGGGTCACACCCCCTTAACAAGGCGCTTTGCTTCTTCACCCCAAGGTCCCAAGGTTTCAACACTGAACGGAACAAAAACAATTTTTTCCACTAATTCCTTATATTTACATCTCTTCTGTTGCTCCCCAAGAAAAGCTGCCTCCTCAGCTTTGTTACTAGTTCTAGAAATATAACTTTCAGTAAGGTGTCTTCTCGACACGTTACATCCCATATTAGTCCAAGAGCCAGCGCCGAAAAAATTCTCTGAATTTACTAAAGCTAGTTTTTGGACAGTTGATTACAGTATTTACGTACATAAACATACCGCGGTCAGTGAAGCGAAACTTGGGACAAGGACCCAGGGTGTCTTGTTAAAGGTGTTGAGATAACTTGGGTAATGCAACGAATTTACTAAAGCTGAAAATCGTTATACATATTATATATAACATATAAATAACAGTAGTGTTAGTCAGTCAGTTGAATAGCGGGACCGTGCTGGTCAGTCAGCCCCAATAAATGTAAAAATCTGCAAAAAATATTAATATTACTGAACAAACCTATTAATTTAAACTTCAACCTACAATTTTGAATTGTCACTGTCACGCTGTCACTCTAAAAAAAAATAGACCTATTTTTTTTTTTCTCCAAACGTCAGAAAAACGTCACTTTGTTAACCCCTGTCAAGGTGTCAGAAATTTGATTTCTATGCTGTTAGGCAAATCCAGCGGGTTAACACCTGTCGAGGTGGTAGAAATTTAATTTCTATGCTGCTTGGCAACCCCAGCGGCAGTAAAAGTACTTTTAGTGCCGCTCGTACTTTTACTGCCGCTCAACCATTCACTTGCCCCCGAGCTTACGCCATTCGTTTGGAGAAAAAATAGCGTGTTGCATACGGAGTAGAAGCACTTTTTTGTGCTTCAGCAGTATTGCAAGCCTCACTACGTTCGGCTCGCAAACCTACCGCTTCAGCACAAAAAAGTGAAGCTTCTACTCCTAATACAACAATATACTATTACATAAATTGGGGCTGAACTGCCTCAATGGGGCTGAATGACCGGCCCAGTTCCGCTATTCAACTGACTGACAAACATCACTGTTATTTATGTGTTATATATAATATGTATAGCGATTTTCAGCCTTAGTAAATTCTTTGCATTACCTAGCTATCTCGACAACTTTAACCAGGCACCCTAGGTCCTTATCCCAAGTTTCGCTTGACTAACCGAGGTATGTTTATGTACGTAAATACTGTAATCAACTGACCAAAAACTGGCTTTAGTAAATTCAGAGAATTTTTTCGGCGCTGGCTCTCCGGCTATATCAATTATTTGCCTTCTCTCCAAGGGAAATATGACAAACCATCTGCTCGCTTTCCGTTACTTCTACAAACACCAATTGGCTCTAGGCTATTACAAGTATCTGCTACAACCCAACATCTGTGCAGTATTTCGTTTATGAACCGACCAACACTACTGGAACAGCACAGGCCATGATGACCCAGAATATCAGCTAATTGTCCGTAAGTGCAAATATGTTGTTCACACACCTGACACCGGTTGACCTAAACCGAGACCTAAACGAAGGGCAAAGAAAATGCGAAAAGTCGAATCATCCAATAACGTTCCCAATGGAGAAGGCAAAGCACAAAGCTACGCATTACTCTCTTGTGCTTGTAGAGCTAAAAGTCTAGCTTTTGATTTTGGATTATCAGAATTCTGAATTTCAAAATGTATTGTATTTTACAAAAAAAAAAAATTGTCAAAATCTTTTTGAGTTTTATAGGACATGAAGACGGAATGGTATTCAAATTACAAAGATTGAGCCCATTTTTCAATGCAAAGTCAAAATCTGTATAATTTTTATCGATAATATAATTTGGAAGTATAAGGGAGGTATTCTGTGTCATTAACTGAACCTAAAAAGGCAGGAAACGTTAGATTTTCAACGTTGGGAATACCAAGTGATTCGAATCTTACTGGAAGAGATGCATGAGACCAAGCTTCCTCGTTAAGTGTAGAGTTTGTTATATGCTGCATAGTTTGCTCAAAAAGGAGATTGACTTTGGAAAGCAATTTTTTTTGCTAACCAGCATGGTGAAGATCTTGAAATATATGACAATTTGGGTACAGCTAAATCGTTCTAAAAGGAAATAAGCCAAATGAGAATTGAAACTTTTCAATTTTTTACATAATTTTTCTATTTTTTGGACTTTATTATTTGAATGTTCAATGAAGTTTGATGACAATGGAGATCCTAGTAGTTCTAGATTTGAAAAATCGCAAATTTCTATATTTTCTGCAAGATTTTTAAAATCTGTTTATTTTTTTTTTTTTTTCATTAGATTTTGAGTTTTGTGGAAAATATAGTTCGCATTCACTAGAATTAATTTTCAGTCCCAAATTTTTAGATTCTGAAATAATTTTTTTGGCATCTTCTAAAACGGTACCAAGCATTGCAACTGCATTATTTTTTATTAAAAATATAAAAAATCAAATTTTCGCATTCAACCGACGTAACTGTATTATCTATCTATCTATCTATCTATCTATCTATCTATCTATTTTATCTATAAGTGAAAAAGTGATGTTGATAGGGTTGCAGCCTATCGATTTCACTTTTTCATTTAATTATTAGACAGCCGTGAAACTATCAAGCTATCTATATAAGTATACGACAAGCGAAATTTGATCGTGGCGCCATCTAAGACTAGGATTCAACATTTTCAAAAAAAAAAATTATAAAGAAAAACAAATGTATGAAGAAAATTCAGTAAATATGCATACGGCGCCTTCTCTTATAACCGATACCAAATATGCCGCGTCAGATTGCGCGGTTTGTTCCATTTTGATTTTTTTTTGTACATTTATTGAACTAATTCATTTTTAATACCTATTCATTTTATATCTGTAATATATTAAAAATGTATTTAAAATATAAGTTGTAGGTTTTGGCGGTTTGCTTCATGCGCATTGTACTATTGCTCCCTTCTTCATAGGTGTACATTTTTGGGTATAAGTACCAGCCATGTTGGACGGTACTCTCTCTCTATCTTATACCTTCAATCAGTATAACATTAGCTTCAATTTTTATAATACATGTACTTCCGAAAACTTAATTCGGGAGTTTCCTGAAGTTTTTTCTCCAGGCCTTGGTTTAGTTAAAAAAGGGGTTGAAAAAATTTATTTGAAAAATGCAGACGTCTCCCCTAAATTTTTTAAAGCTCGACCCATACCATTTGCTATTAAATCCAAAGTAGAAGCAGAGATTGAACGTTTGTTGTTTTTAGGTATTATTTCCCCGGTGGAGTTCAGTCCTTGGGCAACCCCTGTAGTGCCAGTCTTCAAGAAGAATGGCGACCTTAGACTGTGCGGAGATTTCAAGATTACAGTAAACCCTGTGATAGAAGTGGACCAACATCCCCTACCTAGGATAGAAGAGCTTTTTTGTAAACTTCAGGGTGGTAAGGAGTTCTCAAAACTTGATTTATCTCAAGCCTTTCAGCAAATAGAGGTAGATGATAAGAGTAAGGAGCTTTTAACTATTTCCACTCACATGGGCCTTTTTAGATATAATCGTTTAACTTTTGTGGTTGCTTGCGCACCGGCCAAGTTTCAAAAAATCATGGATGCGTTATTGAGCTCCATGCCGGGAGTTGCAGTCTTTCAAGACGATATTTTAGTCACAGGTTGTGACAATAAAACACATTTAGAAAATTTAAAAAGGGTTTTAACTGTTTTAAAAGATTCAGGTTTAAAAGTTAATCTTAGCAAATGCAATTTTTTCAAAAAAAAAAATTGAATATTTGGGGTTTGTTATTGACCAGGAGGGGTTGTGTCCATCAAAAGAAAAAGTTGTAGCTATAGATAAGGCGACTAAGCCAAATAATGTCAAAGAACTCCAATCTTTTCTTGGTAGTGTGAATTATTATGGTAGGTTTATAGGAAATATGTCCACAGTTTTGAGTCCGTTATATAGTCTACTTAAAAATGATGTTAAATGGTATTGGTCCGTTGAGTGTGAAAGGGCATTTCAAAGCATAAAAAATACTTTAAGATCTCCCCAAGTTCTTGTGCATTTTAATCCTGATTTGGAGTTGAGATTAACCACAGATGCCTCCGCAGTGGGAGTGGGGGCTGTTTTAAGTCATAGGTTTCCCTCTGGCGAGGAAAAACCTATCGCTTTTGCATCCCGCACTCTTTCTGAGGCTGAAATGAAATATTCTCAAATAGAAAAAGAAGGCTTGTCAATAATATTTGGAGTGCTGAAATTCAATCAATATTTGTATTTTAAAAAGTTTAAGTTACTGACCGATCATAAACCTTTGTTAGCAATTTTTGGTGAAACCAAAGCTTTGCCTCAATTTTCAGCAAACAGGTTGAGGCGTTGGGCTGTTATTTTGTCTGGTTATAATTATGAAATTGAGTATGTGAAAAGTAACAAAAATAATGCAGATTGGTTGTCAAGAATGCCAGTAAATGATAAAAGTCAATCTTTTTCCGATGATAATATAGATATTGATTATTGTTTTTTTTTTCTCAAATAATTCAGATTTTAACTTGTGCTTTGAAACCTTACAACAATTGACAGAATCAGATAAAATATTTAAAAAGCTTATTTTTCACATTAATAATGGATGGACCAAAGTAGTTACAGATACACAACTTAAACCGTTTTTTGCTAAAAGGTTTGAGTTATATGTTAAAGATAAATGTGTAATGTGGAATCACAGAATTGTTGTCCCTTGTGCCTTGCAAAAGGATGTTTTAAAAGAATTACATAAGACGCATATGGGGGCTGTTAAAATGAAAAGTTTGGCACGCGGATATTTATGGTTTCCAAAGATAAATGCAGAGATAGAAAAAATCGTGAAGGATTGTGAAGCCTGTGTTTTGCATTCTAATAGCCCGCCAAAAAGTCAAATTTCTCCTTGGCCCTGGCCGGGTGGGCACTGGGAAAGGATTCATGTAGATTTTTGTGAATTAAATAAAAAAGTTTTTCTAATTATTGTTGATGCTTACTCAAAGTGGCTTGAAGTTTTCGAAATGTCTAGCATGAATAGTCACGCAACCATTCAGGTTTTAAGGCGAGTTTTTGCAACTTTCGGGATACCTCTTTGTGTGGTTTCGGATAATGGTAGGTCGTTTGTGTCAGACGAGTTCGAAAACTTCCTGTCAAGAATAGTTATTTATGTATCAAGGGTACTAAGTAGATGATTATGCCCCGAGGGCGACAGTCTTACAAAGCCGAGGGCCTCTGGCCCGAGGGTTCGTAAGTTGCCCGAGGGTATATATCTATTAGTACCCGTGGTGCATACAAACTTTTATGTCATGCCTGCGCGGGCCATAATGTGAATTATATAGATGGTATCTAAGGTATAAAAACACAATAATGTACTGGTATGACATAAATAATATTAAACACATTACGAGTCCTCCTTACTCACCCTCTTCAAATGGCGCGGCCGAAAATGCCGTAAAAGAATGCTCTCAAAAAAGCTCTATTCTCTGTAAATGATTCGAGTTTAGCCCTTTGTAGATTTTTGTTCGACTATCGAGTAACTCCACACTGCACTACAGGGGTTAGTCCGGCAGAACTTATTTTTAGTCGTAAGTTGAGAACAAGATTTTCCACTCTTTTGCCTTCAAATTTTGCTGATGCTTCATTAAAAAATGTCAACAATAGTGTATCAGAGAACATAGAAAATGTACGCAAAAGAGTGCAAAATGTTCAAAATAAGCAAACTGATAACAGTAGACCTAGTAAAGTAGTTAATTTTGTTGTAGGGCAAAATGTCTTGGTTAAAAGTTATAAAAATGTAAATCACCCAACGTTTATTAAGGGAAAAATTTGTAAACTGATAGGTAAAAAGACATATTTAGTGGAAGTACCAGAGTTACAAAAGACTTGGAAGCGGCATTGCAATCAAATTAAAAAATATTCGTTGTCGTCAATCGTCTCACATATTCCGGACTTAAACTCTGATAACTCCAATTCTCCTGAAAACAATTCAGACTGTTTAGTTTCGAAAGTTGATCAGGAAAATGTTGATATGGTGCCTCACTCTTCATGTTCTCCACCTACCAACATTGACTCTGAAGGTATGGTTGCAAAAAATGTTTCTATAAAAGATAATTATAAAAATAGACCTAAACGTATTGTGAAACCTGTAAATAGATTAGTTTATGAATAATGTTTATTTAATTTAGCTAAACATTTTTTTTTTAAGAGGGAGGTAGTGTAATATATTAAAAATGTATTTAAATTATAAGTTGTAGGTTTTGGCGGTTTGCTTCATGCGCATTGTACTATTGCTCCCTTCTTCATAGGTGTACATTTTTGGGTATAAGTACCAGCCATGTTGGACGGTACTCTCTCTCTATCTTATACCTTCAACCAGTAAACATTAAAATAAAATAAATCTACAATTATCAGTGTTTAATTTAACCATCCAAGTTTGCAAAAGGTGGTTTTCAAAAGTAGAAAACACCACAATATCATTGAAAAAAACTTAATTTATTCAAGCTAATGCGTTAACACATTTGTTGATTCTGAGGCGGTACGCTAGTATTTTAATACAATCATTCAAATCAATGCACGTTGATCGAAACCACAAGCGATGAGCCATGATAGCAAAATCTGATAGGTTTCATAATTATAAATATTCAAGTATTTGTTGTCGAATATTAAAATAAAAAATATCAGATCTGTGGGAAGTGATAATAAATATTCCACGAACCTTGTATATAAGTTATATTTTCGATTCAGAAACTTGTATTTTAAAAAACATTTATTTTATTGATTAAAATACAGAGGTGACAAAAGAAAATATTAGGATCAAATTGCTACAGGCTAAAGCCAGAAAACAAATGAACGCTCCTTATGGTGCTGCATCGGCTTAAATAAACATTTAATGCCGACATAGCAATTTGATGTTTACTTTACAACAATGTATTTAAAAAGTCCTAGAGGAAAGGGGTAAGCACATTAAAGCATATAAAAAATAGATAATTGATTATAAATCAGCATGGCAATTGGT